TATAAAAGCACTTGTTTAGTGATTCACTATATACCAATTCCTTTAGGTAGCTAGGGTCTGTTCTTAACTACCAATAATTTTATTTATTTTTAGAAAGAGGGGAAAGGAGAGAGAAAGAGAGGGAGAGAAATATCCATGTGAGAAACATCGATGGGTTGCTTCTCTCATGCCCCTTACTGGGAACCAGACCTGCAACCCAGACGTGTAACAGAAAATGATATCCACATGAATATGTAACATGTATTGATAGTAGAAAATGATTTCAGTGGACTGTCCATAATTTCAGACCCCTATTAAAGAATCTCATGTGCTGGTTCATGGAAGCTCCTATGCTAGTTCCCAGTGCTCTCCCTGCCCAGGGTCACCCAGGCCCTCATGGAGCTTGCATTTCCAAGGCTAGACGGTCTCCTGCAAGGTTTCCATGCTGCCCACAACTTCCCTGGGTATTTTCTACTTTCTATTCCTTAGGAGATGCATTGCAAACCCTGTGAATTAATGAAATATTCTTAACAAACAGAGTAACTGGAAGAAAGAAGAAAATGGTCTCTCCCATGTCTCCTTTGGAGAAGCTACAATGAATTCTCTCATAGACCTTTCTCCCATATTTCTGGTCTTTTCACTGAACCCAAGAGAAGAGGAAAAAAAGGTCCCACCACGCCCTCTGCCTGTAAGAGAAAGTCTTGAAATTGACTAACACTCAGTAACAGTCTAATTAATCCTACTCATTTTTTACTGGAATTCATGTTACAGACCAAGTCTGACTAATGATTAAAAGTGTTAGCAAGGTAAAGTCTCGCCCCTGTAAAATCCAGGCACCAATAGCAACGCTGATTTAAGTAACTGAGCTACTTAAAAGGCTCAAAGACATAATTTATAAATACATGGATCCTCTTCTTATTAATTACCTTAATTTTTTTAGTCTTTGTGAAAAAAACATATTTAATAATCTGCAGAAATTCAAAATAATTTTGGTATATTGCCTTTTGAACATTTCATGGTTTGTAATGTCCCAGCACCAAATTTTTATAGTATTATTTAGCTAATGGATTCTGATAAATATTCTGTCAGTGTTCTGGATATAATAGTTGGGGTGATAAACGCCTGAGTCTGCATTCCCCTTATCAATCTTACATTTTCTGGCCATGCGTGAGTAAGTTCTCCGGTCGGTACAAACAGAAGAAAGGGTTGGGAAAATGTAGCAGCTCAACCAGTTTCTCCCTGTTTCTATTTACATCCAAACTTGTTATAACCAATTGTTGATTCTGAACATATTTCAGCCACTAATTTCAACTAATCTAGGTCTGGATAAAAGCCTCAGAATCAGAATTGCTAGTTCTCTATGGGTAAAATACAAAATCAGGGAATAAGAGATACAGCCTATTTTTTTCTCTGTGTGCCTTCTTCTATGTGTGCCTTCAATTCCACCCCCTTTCTCAAGGTCAGTATTGAAGGGAGTACTTAGGGCTAGTGATTCATAAGAAATCTTTACTCCAACACATAGATGACTTGAGCTTTTCTTTTTCTTTTCTATATAAGAGCAGTTGAAGTCCTTGAATTCTTTGATAGCCTTTCCCTGAGATGACTGAGAAAATCTGTTGATAAAACAGAATACTTATATTTGAAAATCTTGTGTAATAAATATAGAAGAGAACAACTTTTTTAAAAGAAATGTGTTTTTTAAAGATTTGAAATTTTCTCAATGACAAATACTCTTTGATCTTTAGGGTGGGAGGAATAGTCATTAAAAGTAAAAGTAGGTTAACTCCATTGCTGTATAGTTCTCAATGCTGACTCACTCCTTCAATCTGAGTAATGACTACAATTACACAACAACCCAAATTCTCCACCTCCAAGCTGGGCGTTTGTCCTAAGGCTGTTGCCAAATAAAATTGCCTCTAGTGACTATGATCCAGTACATGAAATTATTTTCAACAGACTAAAGCATAACAGAATGTTTCATGTGACAAGTGTAAGAAATGTTTCTTATCAGATGACACGGGAGTCACTTTTTACCTCTGTTCCCAATCTGATGTATCTGGTTTGAATATTTGTAAAAAACAAACAAACAAAAAACCTTTCATTATAATTTCTCTGTTCTTCCAGATACAGTGTCAAACTAACACATACATAAAGTTGCTTTTTAAAGCTTGGATGCCATAATTTTGACACTGTCCATAATTTTGACACTGTCCTTTGACATCAACCAGTTTCCCTTGGATTATTACAAACTTCTGAAAAAATATGGAGTCAAACCCTGTCCAAGAACAAGAACTGAACAATTACAATGATAGGCAACTAACTGATAAGGGCGTTTTAATCCTCAAAGATACTAATTTGATGCTTGACAATATTCAGATATGTAGGAGTACAATTTGGATGAATCATTTAAGTATTAACTCTGCCCGAGGATTACATAAGACCTTTAGTCGGAAGGCTAAAAAATATTTCCAAGTGTAAGCCTGTCTTGAGCAGAATAACAATGGGACTAACAATTGAGAATTAATAGAGGCCCATGAGCATGTGTGCTGTTCTCTTCATTTTACTTTGCAGGTGATTTACCTCAGGGCCTTTTCAACAGCAGGAAGTAGAGAAGGCACTAGGCAAGCGTCATTTTAAAGAACTTAGCTGAGTTTCTTATGCTCCAGTTATGATACTTATCAACTAAACTATTTTAACCTTATTAATTTATTATGCATTTATTCAAATGTATACTAAGAAAATATCTATAAAGGGAGAAATCTGGTATCCTGGTAGTTTTATTAGTCAAAAATTTCCATAGTGAGTTGGCATGTCAACTCAGGATAGTTAATATCATACTTCCATGAGGGTTTTTTTTTGTGGTTTTTGTTTGTTTGTTTCTTTAGAGGAAGGGAAGGTAAAGGAGAGAAAATAATGAAAGGAAAAAGAAACAACTGCGGATGAAAAAGGGTCAAATGTAATAAACCCAACAAGCTCAGGGGGGCGCATGGCAGTGGCCAAAAGTAACCACACAGGACAGTCTTATCATAAATTCCTAACTGGTCAGTCCATGGCGGGTAGTCACGTCCCTCACCTACAGCGTCCTTAGCAAAGGTCAATTTCTACCTTACGTGAGCCCTGCTTGTGGTTCTTAAGCACCTAGGATAACATACTTTTGAAATGTCAGAGTAGTTTCCTTTCCAGGCCTTTTGAAGTCATAACCCCCGGCACCAGATCATAAGAACATTCCTGAGACCACAAAACTCCTCACTGTTATCTCGTTGCCCACATACCGTCTCTGTGTGCTGTGAAGGTTAAGTGTTCACTCTCTCGTACCCACCAACGTAAAGGCAGCCTGTGTTTTTCCATTTTGCTTTTTATCCAGTCCTAGAGATTTCCCCACTCTGTTTTCTCTTGCCCGTTAATCTACCATGAATGAATTTCATGTTCCCAGTCCATGAAGATTTTGCTTCTGGGCATGTCCTCAACATTTTGGCTCAAGTAAACTCTTATAAAAATTTTCTATAGGCTGGAAGTTCTTTCATCAACACAAAAATAAAAAGGAGATGAATGTGGGCAAAGGAACAAGAGCAGGGGTGTAACAGCAAACTTTCTATCTGGTGAGCAATAGAAAACCATATTGATTCAGGCAAAACAATGGTAGGAAGTTACATTAGGTAGATAGGAGACAATTTTTAGTGTATCTGACTTCTGCATGGGGATTTAAACTTCATGCAAAGTATTAGCTTTCCACTGCTGTGGTAGTGAATGACCACAAATTCAGTGGCCTAAAACACCAGCCATTTATTTTTCTCACACTTTTATAGGTCCGAAGTCCACATACAGTGTGGATTAGTCCCTGGCTTAGAGTCTCAAATGCTGAAATCAAGGCGTTTGAAGGCTGTGTTCTTTTTTGGAGACTCTGGGGATCAATCTATTTGTAAGCTCATTCAGGTCATTGACTGAATTAGTTCCTTGCAGTTGCAGAACGGAAGTGCCCGTTCCCTGCTGGCTCTCAGACAGGAGCTTGCCTTAGCTCCTAGAATATGCTCACATTTCTTCTCATGCTTTCCACATGGTTCCTCCAACAATGGCAACAGACCTTCTCACACTTCCGATCTCTCTGACTCCCTCTTCTGCCACATTATTTTTAAGAGCTCATGTGATTAGATTGGGTGGACTCAGATAATCCAGGATACCCCACCCCTTTTTTTAGATTCACAGCCTTAATGTCATATGTAAGGTCCCTTTACCATGTAACATAATATACTCACAGGTGTCAGAGGTTTGGCCACGGCCATCTTTAGAATGCCATTATTCTACCACAAGCACCTTTGCAGATTCTCTTGTCAGCCTCCTTCTTTCTCTCTCTTTGTCATTTAGGTTGCCTTTTCATGTTAGGACTAAATTGGGACACTACTCTAAGGGCGTTGACATCACGTTCCCTGAGTGACTACTGAGGTCCCATCTGATACAACTTGAAATGTGAGGAGGTATGTTTCCCATTGGGTGAATAGTTCCAGGGAAGTCACCAGCGTGAGCTGACCTCCCTGATAAGTGACCCCTTGGTCTCTATGTACTGTGACGTGGTAACAGCATGGGATCACATCACATTGCTTCACGTTTTTATTAACTTCATATTTTTTTTCTCCTCCTTTTATTATACCCTCTACACTGGGCTTGCATCTCCTAGATAGAATATTAGCCCTTCAATCCTTGCCACAGGCCCTACTTCCCAGAGGAGATTGACTAAGAACATTCCTTTTACAACTGTCCCCGTCACAGAGGTGGACTGTAGTGTGTTTATAAGACAATTTGATCTATTGGGTGGACATTCAGAGAATACCACTGTCCCAGAAATTTAAAAAAAAAAAGGCTAATAAACTAATCTCTGTCTCCCTGAAGCCAGAGTAGAGATGATAGAGAGAACCATGGACACTGAAAGGCAAAGAAAGTTGGACTGCTAAGAGAAAAATAGATCAGAGACCATGAGATATCACACAGATATGCTGTCCCATGGACAAAATGGAATTAATGCTTACCTTTGTTCCTGATGAATTTTCAGTTTCTGTGTCCAAGCCCTAATGATAAGGTGTACTTGTGTCCTTACAAGAATTTCCTCCCCTTGAATTCAGCTAGTTTGAAATGTGGTTTCACTACTTGGAATGAAAAAGACTATTCTAGTTATTGTTGTTATATAATAAACCATCCAAAAACCCAGTAGCATAGAACAACCATCTTATGATACAGATTCTGTGAGTCAGGAATTTAGACAGGGCACATTGGGGACTGCTTATCTCTTCTTCACAACACCTGGGGTCTCTACTGGGAAGACTTGAAAGTTAGAAGTGAATCAACAGCTGGAGGCTCAAATCGTTTTGAGATGCCACCACTTATTTTTCTGGTGAAAAAGACTGACTATTGGCTGCCTGTTAACACGGCCTTCCTGTGTGGCCTAGCCACACGGGCTGGTTGGGTTTGCACAAAGCATAGCTGGAACATTCCCAAAGAACAAGGAAGTGCATGGCATGTTTGTGATCTAACCTCAGGAGTCATATAACATCACTTCTACTATGCTCTAATGGCTGAAGTAGTCACAAAGGGCCACACAGTGTCTAGGAAAGGGGACACAGATCTCACCCCTCCATGAGGGAAATGTCAAAGTCATATTGCATAAATAACACATGTGATGTGAGTCCTTGTTACCCTAAAATAATAGGTGAATTGAAGTCAGACACTGTAGGGTTCAGTGACAAGTGGGAGGTTTGGAGTTCATCCTAAAGACAGTGCAAAGTGGAATTTTTGAGCAGAGAAACGATACAGGTAAAGAGTACTAGAAGAAGGTGGCTAGATAAATAGGATAAGAATTGTAGTCTCCTGAGATTGTCCCATTTAATCTGGCCAGATTTTTTATTGTGCTTTGAAGGTAAGGCAGACTGACCCTATCATTATCTGTATCAAATGGATTCCCAGTGACTTTGTGTTACTCTACTAATGTTGCTTCATAATAGTGCTAAAAGCTAATCTGAGCCTGCATTTCACAATATGAGTGCAGAATAAATCAGTAGGTACCAGGGTATATAGAATCAATTTTTACTGTTTTATTCTATTAAAAAGATGATTCTCACTGTTTATCACAGCACTGACTGCACATAAAACAGTGCTACACCCTCACCCCCATTTAGGCTCTACATGAAAGGGTTTCTACAACATAGGAAGTTTTGGCTTAATTAGAAAATGTTCAGATGATACATGACATATTCTTTCTCTCTCTCTTTCTCTCTCTGAGTATGATTTTAGATTTGAAATGAAAGCTTAAGAGCCGGTGAGGAAAGGCAGTGGAGTAGATTACTAGTAAAATCTTCATCAAAGAAAATAAACCAAAACACTTGACCAGCAGCATTACCTTTTCATTTTTTTTCTTTTTGCTAAAATGCTATTTATTTTTCATGCAACAGAAACATATATTTTATTGATCACCAATCTATAACATAGCATCTAAAGACTTAAAGTCTCTAAAAGAGTAACATGAATTAAAGATACCATGAAGAACTTTTTGTATACAAAATTTTTCCTAGTATGTTTATTTTACTCACTTCAAAAGCTATTTATCCAGCTTTTATTCAATTTACTAGAAACTGCTCTGCTTAAGTCTATTTATTGCATTTGTCTTTTTTTTAAGTATCCCTCTTAAAATATCACAGGGAATAATTCTGAAATAAAACAAAGGTTAAATGTACCTTAGATTTTCCTATTCAGTACTTACATGAAAAGAGGCCTATTGTTTTATAAAAAGACTGGCTAAATGGGCTACATGGAAGCAATATTTCGTTCCCTAAAATAACTCCTCAGTTTTCATAAGGGCTCCAGTTTTGTACTCATAGTGCGCTTTACACTGGGGAGCTCTGCCATTTCCACAGGACTGACCTGCACAGTCTTCACTTCCTAGGTCAAGGCAGAGAACATTTCTCAGAGCACGTACACAGGGGAACGCTACACCCTGTTTGCCTCATGTGTTTAACTATTATCTTCATTTTCCATGTATTTTATATTTTTTAAAGTCTGAGACCATATCTCTTCTCATGAAGGTATTAAGTAAGAACTTACTGAACTGATGATTTTCATAGGGCAATAAATGCCTCTGCTTACTGCAAAATAATGCCGCTATCAAATAGCTATCTGCCATGCCTCTACTATCTTATCATTAAACTTTTTGAAGACTTGGACAAAAATTTCAATTGTATGTCAGGTGAATACGTGCACGATCTTTACTAGCCACCTTCTAAGATGTATGCGTCATACATAGTTACGTTAGTGCTTCAAACAGTTGATTCATCTTGAGCAGAATATAACTGAGAGATTAAACTTCATTAAACCAATTGGCAGAAAATTAAATTGTGCATAAGAATGCTAGTATTTTCTTCTTTTGTCATTATTGTTAAGAATCTAGCTAGCATGTAACATATGGTCCCAAATTCTATGCCATCACTGGAATTTTTCATTTGTCATTCCTTACAACTTCTGGACTTCTTGGGATTTTTTAAATAAGGAAAACAAATAAATGAGCCATTGTTTGCAATACGAGAGCAGCATGATCTGTGGGGAAAGCCTAGCTGGGTTCATCCAACTAGTCCTCCTCCTTGCTGAGTAGTTTGCGGCAAATTACTTATTCTTGCCAAGCCCCACTTATCTCAGCTATAAAAAGGAGTATAATATACCCCACACACATACTTTGAAGAGTGAGTGTGAATTAAGACCCTCCTACATGTAAAGTGGCTAGCTCAGTGCCTGGGTGCTACTAGGTTTTCAATAAATGATATCTGTGATTATGATTATATTTACCATGAAGAGATTTTATTCATTCATCATCAAAGATTAGAGATACCCCCTTTCTAGGTCATGAAATACAGAGCTTACATTCCAGAGAGCAAGACAAAAAATTAATACATAAATAACCCAACAGGATGTCTCTTTTCTCTCTTAAAAATGAGGTCTGAGACAGCAATAACACAACAGGGGCTGCTTTCTGCTGTTGCTGCCTTTCTCGTCTCTGCCACAGAAACAGAGACATCAACCTCACTCCAGGCACTGTGTGTAAAACTGTGGAAATAAATCACCAGCACTGGTTTGTGGGGCAGAAACGGCAGCCTTGAGGCTGAGGCACACACAAGAGCTCGTGCAGGAAATACAGTAAAGGATTAGTCCGTGGGACAACAGGCAAACTGTAGACAGAGAAGCCAAGTCCACCAGGGCCTGCCAGAAATGTGGGGCAGGTGCTTACCTCAGGACAGATGGAAGTGAAGGCTGTCCACTCCTCATGTCCTCAGCCTCGGTCCCTCCACGTATTTGTGTGCAGCCTCGCACAAACTGATAACTAGAAGACATAAATGGGGATAAACAGCAGACTTTATCTTCTGTTCCAATGAGTTCAAATAGTGAAAACAATGTCATCAAATCACCATTTAATTCCTGAGGTCAAAATGTTAACTCACAGTTTTTCAGCCTGTGTATTTTTGCTGTGATACTCAGTGGCCACAAATGAACAGTGACAATATTTGGACCCGTCTAGGGTATACACAGGAGACTTGATTTTCTCCCATCACTGTCTTCAGAATGCTGTGGGCACCCCTTTTCCACCCCTTACAGATACCCCCTCACTTTCTGGCCACATTCAGATATTAAAATGTCAAGTCTGGCCCAATTTTATTCAAAATGGGTTCTGTTCATACATTTATTTTCCATCTGCTGTCATCAACGCAAGAGGACAGGGGATGACAGAAAGGGACAATGGCATAATGGGGCACCAGGCGGGCTCTTTAGAGTCCCCGATGTAGACAGTGCACTCACTGGCTGACCTCTTTAAATCCTTCTTTAGTTTGGGCACATCTTCAACCACTTACAGCAAGGGACCTGCAGGCAGGACCTACTTGATGGCTCTAACACCCACTGCATTTTTTGCCCCACCAAACCTGGATCTACAACGTACCCTACCAGGAGCCCCTCTCTCTCCACGTGTCTATTTCAGTCAGTTACCACTTCTCTAGCTAAAAGGAGGCACTGATGTACAATTACACTCCCATATTCCTGGGGACACGTCAGATTCTCCAGCAATCTCCTGTCACCCAGCTCCACAGAGATTGGACTGAGTGGCTAATCTTGCTCCTTCTCATCTGGGAGGGGTCAGGTCCTAGTTTTTCTAGGCAGCTCCATCTTCTACACTGGATTCTCTTAGGCCTTCCCAGATTTTGGCCTGAATGGGAGTGGAAATCAGGTAGACAACTCTCCAGTTCTCTGCCCCTGTAAAGCGAAAAGTCAAAGCTCTCTCTACTCCTACAAAAATGCCTTTCAAGGATCCCCCTCTTGGATTTCCAGAGGTGGATAACAGTCACTGGACCAGTTCTTCTCTTGTTCATGAGTCCTGCATGTATGCATCTAGGAGCGAGCGCTTTCTGGAATGCGGACTTATTACTATTTATTATCCTAAATTTTAGGCTTAGCTGAAATTCCAAGACAGCAGGAAAATCTCATTTAATATTCTATTACCTACTAGTAAGTTTATTTGAATTATAATCTAAATTGAAATACTCTTTCAGAACAGAAAGGGTTCATCCATACAATGTTAGCAGAGCCAAACACTAAACACAGCATTGCAGTGGAGAACCCAGGAAAACAGGAAGCTAATGCTCAAAAGACCAAATTCCTCCTCAGTGGTGTGTAGGTTACAGATTACATTGGGCAAAATCACAAGGCACTGTGGGTTAGGGGTTCAAGGTGCTGCTGGGAGCTGATGGGCTGAAGGTGAGGTCAGGGTAATGAATCATTTCTTCAGGTCTCGAGGACAGTTCTGAGGTCTTTCTGGCATCCCTCTGTTCATTCTCATGGGAAAAGAGCCAGGGGATCATTCCACCTTAGGGCTCGGAGCTGAATAACTTTAGGTCAAGATGTTATCTTGAGCCTGCCGGAGGTCCCAACCATGTGACTGTTACTCAGGTCCAGACTACTGTCTTCTGCCTCAGGAACTGCTGATTATCCAGGGTAAAGGCTAGGTCTCTGCTGGTTAGAGAAAGGTGAGGGGTGGGGGTATGATTTCTAGAGCTAGGACTTACAGCTCAATGTAATCAAAGTCATAGGGACCCTCATTTCAATATCAATCAAGGATTCTAAAGGCAGAACACTAGGAATACACAAGATTTACTTGGTATTTTCTTTAACAGGAATTTGTTTGAATAAAAAGCTGCTTGCACACTACTTCTTTTCTCAGCAATGGACCCTATCTTCTTCTGTCATTTCTTTTATTTGTAACATCATTTGCAACAGACTTTTAAGAAAGAGACAGAGAGAAGCAAAGGTTCGGGGGGAAAGTATGGAAAGAGAAAAGAGGGAATGTTTGTGAATGAGAGATCTGGAGTTTTAGATGATAATATTAACCTATTATTCTGAATTTTTCATGCCACTTTTCCCCCTAAGAAAATAAAATTGCAGCTGATATATAAGGATTCCTACTTTTCATGACATGACCTGCATCTTTCTACAGATATGTGCTTGTAGGACTATTTGGGGAAAAATATATGTGAATTTATCCTGAATAAAAGCAGAAATAATCTTCCCAGAGGCAATGTCATCCTGTTCGGCATACAGCAGGGTGTTCCGGGCTGGCCCTCACCTGGCACCTGACGTGGGAGCCTGGCTGTGCGCTGGTCCGAGTGACTCCCACAGGCATTGATTTGCAAACACTGATAACCTGAGCACAGAGAACCTTCAAAGGGCTGTGCTCTGCGCCTGGAGATGTGCAGACTCCAGGAAGCTGAATGGTAAAAAAACAGCAGCATCACAGCCTGGGGGCCAGGGTCAGGTCCCTGTCACTGAGGTCTGGATTTCTTGGAGAATGTTCTTAACGAGTTTGTCGTTTTCTTAAGCCTGCTAACTTTTAATTGAATAACATGCTTGCTTTATTTATTGATGGTGTTCTTCTAACACACTTACACTGCACCTTTGAGTTGGAAAGATTGTAAATGTTGTTTTCTTATCTTGAGACAAATATCTTGTGTTCCGTGGCTACCAACAGTGTATTTAAAACACCACCACAAAAGAATGCTTAGGGACTTCATTATAATATAGGGTCGCTCGCTTGTTAAAACTTTATTCTGTTAACACCCCAGTGCTGTGAGCAATTTTTGGCACCTGTTGATGAACTAGGCCTTCAATAAGGGAGAGTGACAGTGTGAAGCATGCGTGACCTTTTGTTTTCCTCAACCAGAAGTAACTGTGATTACAGGACTTAAACTATAATTTCATGTCTAAGAACCAGAACAAAGTCTATGTCAGGGCAATGCTCAGATAGATAACCCAGTTGTCCTCAGACCCCACCAACTATGGGTAACATGAGTGAAAATAAGGGAATATGAAAAACTACTTCCTAAATATCATTCCTCTTTAGCCTTGACTTGCCAACTGCATACTCTCAGCTGCCCCTACTATCCTCAGCCCCAGAAGTCTCCTTTTCCTACTTTTCCCTTGAAAAGTTTTTTCAGTGTAGGCTTTTTTTGATCCCTCCAAAGTAACAAAAAGTAAAAAATAAGGTCATTGGGAACCCTCAAGGTTTACATTTCACAGCTTCAGCCATACAGAAAAAGAGCAGACCAACTCTCTCTTGAGCCAAGTATAAACTCTAGAGGCACAGGCTTTTTGGGCAGTTAGGGTGGCAACCGGTCCACGAGCCAGTGAACCGTGGTGAGGGAACTGGCGCCATGGTCACCGGCTGCTTCTGTCTCTGCGGTAACTTGAGAATTATGAGAGGTGGACATAATTTCAATCAAAGTAGATGTTCCCTAATGAGCAGATAAGGATTTAAGTTTTTCATTCTTTCATTTAGTCAGCTATTATTTGCCAGACATTTTACTAGATTTTGGGGATACAACCACTAATAAGAAGGATAATTCCTGTCTAACAGAACCTGTATGTTAAGATGGAGAATGATATTAAACAATAGACAAGAAACAAAAATTTAGTAAAATAAGAGCTACCATAAATACTTTTTTAAAAAGGTGTTGGCAGGATCATTTCTTGCCTCTTTCAAATTCTGGTAGCATAAATCTAAGCTCTGCCTCCATTGTATCGTGACGTTTGTCCTTCACTTTGACATGACTTTTTCTTGTGTTTTCATTTGGCCATATTCTTGTAAGGATATCAGTCATGTTGAATGAGGGGCCCACCTTACTCTAGTATGACATCCTCTTAAATTAACTAATTACATCTGCGATAACCATATTTCCAAATAACATCACATTCGGAGGTATTGGGGATAAACACTTCAACATAACCTTTTGAGTATGGACACAATTCAACCCACAGCACTAAATAATTTCAAATTGTGCTTTAACTTGGTTGTACCAATGTTCACTTCCAGTAACAGTGTATTATAATTCAATGTTCCAAATGCTAAATATTAGATTTTATAAATATGTTTAAATTTATGACAACAAAACGGCACTTCTCTGTTGCATTCTCTTGATTACTAATGAAAGTGAACATCATTTTATATGCATATGGGCATTCTAGTTTCCTCTTTTGTTTGTCCATGTCTTTTGTTTTGTTTGTTTTGCTTGTTCATGTCCTTTGTCTATTTTTCTATTGGGTTGTTGATCATGTTTAATTGATTAGCAGGAGGTCTTAATAGTTTCCGGATACTAATGGTGGTGACCTAAATGTCTGCTATATTTTTCATACTTAACAATTTAAACTTAATCTTTAATGCAACTGACCTACTCTATTAACACAAAATAGGCAGAGGTGAGAAGACGGAGATGGAGAAGTAATGCGTAGTAGTATTTGTCAACTATGGTGTGAACCTGAGAATAGAACTGGTTCACGCACACACAAACATCTCTACATTGATTAAGTATTCTTACTTCCAAGGTGAAATTGCCACTTCCAGACAAGCAGAAAAGGTTCACGTGATGCCAAGTCCCTCAGTAGAGGACCCAGAGGGATCTTCCATGACTAAGGACAAGAGTAAAGGGAAGTCCAAGCCAAGCTTCAACTAACTATTTTCAGCAATTTCCTCTATTTTTTATGTAAAACATTACTTTAGAGCTAATGAAACAACCTGAGTGCCAACATGCCAAGAAATATCATGTGTTTTTAAAGAAAAGACTGGAGCCATTTAAAGAAGCACATGGAGAACACCAATAAGAAATCTGAATCTGGCATTAGACAAAAGCCAGCCTACCTCCAGAGTCGGACCTGTTTGCAGACATCTAGGAACATGATTAGAAGGCTGAATACAAAGACCTCTAACAGAAAAAGGTGGTTGTCTTCCCTTTGTGCTCAGGAGGACTTTGGAGATAATGACTTTTTAAAGTATGATTTGTCCAT